TCTAGCTCACAGATACAGACAAACTGGTGATGGCTAACCAACCGGACATAGTAGTAGTGGACAAGCAGAGGAAAACGACCATAGCAGAAGTACCAAGGGCGGAGAGAGAGCTGGAGAAGATGTGGAGGATGAAGGCAACAGTGGTCCCAGTGGTAATCAGTGCAGTGACCCCCAAGCTGGGCTGGTGGCTTCAGCAGATCCTAGGAACAACATCCGAGATCTCTGTCCAGAAGAACGTAGTCCTAGGAACAGCAAAGATGTAAAAACAAGGAAAAGCAGAATAAGTCCATTTCAATGTATTAAACGTAGGTGTTAGGTTAGGTTGCAGGTAAAAGTGTGTCCACTAGATGGTGCTGCAAGCATAGTCATATGCACAGTTATAGTCCTGTTTTTAGATGCTCTTATATTTTTATGTCATACCAGCTGTGCACCCCATTCATAATGTAATATTTACATGTATCCGTCTGTTAACTACATTTTATTTTTCCCCTTTCTTTCTGCCTTTTTTCTTACAAACAAAAAATTGTTTGTAAGACAACATTATTAAATAAACGCGTTTTTTTTTTAAAAAAAGAATATTCCACACAAAGTACACTGAAACGTCACTTTGCTTGACCTGTGAATAGAGTCTGTACTGTGTGGCGCAGCAGGCGAGTCAGAGGAAATAACGATGACCGGACATGTGAAAGACGGCATCATGGGAAGTGGAGGATCCGCTGTTTCCGTCTAACCCGTTTGGAGACCAGTCGGCATGTTCTGCCTTTTTCTCGTTCAGTTTTTCCATTTTGCATTTCTAATTTTTATTCTCCAAAACACCAGTGATATGACTGAATAGTCACTAATTAAAGTGAAGTAGCAGTATAGCCGTTATCAGCAGGGTTGTTATTCATTATCCTTTGTCACACACATTCGGACGGTGTTACATGTTAAGTTACCGCTGCAGCTTAAACCTTACACGATGTCTGCGCTAAATAAAAATCTGAATCACAGCAAAGTTAAGAGGTTTTTTTTTTTTAAATTTCATTTAAAAAAAACTGCCACAAGGAAAAGGAAGTGCAATTACAGCAAATATGGGAAATCTCTAGAAACTGGATCGAGCCGATTGAATGTGATTCTCGCAGAATTATGGATCAGGGTTTCCTATTTTCTTTTCTTTTTTTGTTAAATCAGTTATTTTAAGTGCGCCCGTAGCATACAAACAGATGCATCCTAACGAAACTCAATAAACCAGCAGCTAAAATACAGTTATGAACAATGTTAAATGTTATTCTGGGAGAGAAATAAATCGATTCTGTCCCCGAAATCCAATTTTTGTGTTCGTTTCAAATATCTCTGAGCATCACGGGTAAAGTGTCCCACACTCTCTCTCCCCTGCCTACATTTAGTTTGCTGAAGTCTGGTCATCCTAATCTAACCCTTATTATTTATTTAGCTGCTGTACAGGAGTGCCTCCGGTGACGTTCGATGGAATACGTCATTGTGCGTCATTGTTACCGTTTCCTCGCGACTCCCTTTACACGTTTAACTTAATGCACGTGTCCTATTAACCACGTGGACTTGTTACGGCCTCATAATGTCACTGCTCTGATTAATTCCCGGGACCCAGAGAGCTTTCTGTTCTCTCGCCGCGATTATCTAATGCGCTCTGTGCTCGCAAGGCGCATGCGTGCTGATAACCAGCTGCTAGCAAGCCGGGGCAGCTGAATCAGAGATGAAATTTGAATTGTGAGATGTCGACTTTCAGTTACTTCCGTGTTCGCTCACATTCTAACGGAAACGGAAAATAGTCTCACCCCTCAGGCATCCCAGTTCCTCTTACAGTACTGTTAACCTTATAATGAACTCCACACAGAGATGCTGGATTCAAACCCAGGACCTTCTTGCAACAGTGCTAACCACGAAAACCACCCTGCTTCCTTAAATATGATAAATACTTCTATAATATAAAACTTTAAACATTTTACAAATATTCTAGGCCTACATTGTGCTTCGTGCCATCTATTATGAGTGTTTAGTTTGCTGTATCATTATTACTGAAATTACCCAGCAGTATGTGAGTCATGACGTTTTTTCCTCCGTGGGTTGATCATCTTGTCATGTGAAAACTCTCTGCTGATGCTCTATCAGGAGGTGGCTCGTGGTTTTAACGTCATATCTCTCCTCTTGTTTACACCTTCCTATACGTGAAAATATATTTTAGCTGGATTCAGAACCAGCTTCCGGCCAGTGTTTGTGATCATGAGCGTCGCGTGGAGCTGTGGAGCGTGTCCGGTCTGCTTTAGGTGCCGTTTATCTGCCTTCTACTGATTTCCGCTCCTTAGCGTCTCGCCACAGTCCCGCAGCGATGTGCGGAGAAGGGGACGAGGCGCAGGACGACTGCGGCTCCCGGGAGGAGTGGACGCTGCTGTTCTGGACCTCCGTGGCCGTCGTGGTTCCGGTCATCATCACGCTGTGGTGCAGCGCACAACGCTCCAAGAGGAAGTCGCACATGAAGGATTTCTTTCGCAAGAGCAAGCACGGCTGGCATTACACCGACCTGTTCAACAAGCCCACCTACTGCTGCGTGTGCTCCCAGCACATCCTGCAAGGCGCTTTCTGCGACTGCTGCGGCGTGTGCGCCGACGAGCAGTGCCTGCGCCGGGCCGACCGCAGCCTGTCCTGCAAGGAGATCATGGCCCCCTCCAGCCCCGAAGGAGCCATGGAGCATCGCTGGGTCCGCGGGAATGTGCCTCTGGCCAGTTACTGTGCTGTATGCAAGCAGCAGTGTGGGACCCAGCCGAA